AAAAAAAAAAAAAGCTGGAACTGAGGCTCAAGTGGTAGAACACCAGCCCTGGAGGGGGGAGGGGAGGGACAGTGTCTAGGCCCAGTTCAAGTCCTAGTACTGGTACAGAACTCAGTGGACTGACAATACACTCATAAAAATTTCCATAGGTTGGGAATCCTAGCAAAATTTAGCCAAGTATCTTTGCCTCCAGGCTCCAATAACGTTGGCCCCATTACCAAACTGTGGCTATTTGCAGCATTGTTTTGCATAGGTGGTTGGGATTGGGATCCATTTACTGGCTGTTGGCCCCATGGCAGCCTGCTTCCCCAGAAGGGTTACTTAAAAGCACAAGACAGCTACAGAACACTTAAACAGTGTCCAGCCCCTTTATAACCGAATTCCAGGAGTGCTATCCCACTGCATGCACTATTTTCCAAGAAGCTCGTCAGCTAGCCCAGACTCAGTACACAGATTCAGTTCACAGTATACATTACACAAATACCATAAAGTGAATTCCAAGATCAAGTAAATCTAAAGCAAGGAATGCATGGACAGATTATGATATAAAGCTTAACTTGGCAGTGGGTATGTATGAAATTGGACATCTATATACAGTTATCAGGGACACATTCCTTGGTTAAAATTTCTGAATATGATCTAAAAGTCTCTTGTTTTTAAACAAGGACACCTGATTTAGTAGCACTCTAATGAGTAATATGCATGTTAACTCCAACCTTGAAACACTTAAGGCAGCTAAGGGTGGTGCTCAAGTGGTAAAGCGCCTGAGTTCAATCCCTACTACCACACAGACATGCACATGAAGAAAAAAAAAAAAAAAAGAAAGAAAAACTGTCAACTTTAATGTATAACAAGCTCTGACCAAGTTATCAAACAAGGAAGCACAGCAAAAGGCACCTGGGTAATTTAGTCAAATGACCTAAAACACAAACAGCTCATAAAAATCCCTTGAAACAAGTTTTTTTATTTTACTAGTAATCCAGAATGCAGATTAATATCTCCCCGCCACTTTTTGGAGTGGGGAACTGATGGGGTCACATACTAAGAATAAAACAAATGAAGTTACAAGATGTATTCTTACTAGTGCATGAAAACCTGTATATAGTAAGTGTTCAGCAGCTAGAACTTCAGTGTTAGAAAAGGAATTGGCATTTTTTCATGTTAGTAATTTGAAAAGAAAACTGTAGGAATGTTATGGGAAAATGTGGAAAAATAATTCTCATTAATTCCCTAAAATGTATTTTGCTAATCTCACAATAAATGAAAACAAATAAAGATTCAAAGAGATGAAATCCAAACAAAAATGTCAAGTGTTCAAGTTTCAGTTTCATTGTGTATGTAAGTTCAAAGGCATTATTTCAATCATACCTCTTCTCTAACTGCTTGGATCAGACCAATTTGGGCAACAAGTGAACAAAATTTCTGGAAACAGTTATTAAATAAGTTGTTTATTGTACTGAATTTATAAAGAAAAGAAAACAGACAATGCACTCAGTAGAAAGAATAAAAATTTTATCAGGGCTTTATTTTTAACTAAGAGCAAATAGAAATCCTTTAGTGAGATCATGGTAACTGGGCAGTATTCTAAGTTCAATAAAGGTACATGGAGTACCAGGTAGGTTGAGTCCTACAGCTGCCTCTTTCCAGGATTTTCTGACTCATCTGGCTCAAGTGATGGGGACAAAAGCCCTTCTATATAGTGGAAAACATTTCCAAAATGAAGTGATGGGATGGAACTCCTTCCCATTAAAATTTCCTGTCAGTTTTTAAAGACCTCTGTTTGCTTATGTGATTTTTGGTTATTTCACGTCAGATCATCACTCAACACCAGACTTCCTGTAATTCCACAACGTAGGAGAGATTTCAGTTAAGTCTGATATTGCTTTAGATGTAAATACAGTAGCAAACCCAAAATGGGTTAGAATTGCTGAAGGATTTCCCTGCCGTTGTTTGATACAATCTGTTTATTCTTGATAGATGCATAGATAGCCTGACTTAAAATTCTTTCTACAGGAACATATCTGAATTCAGGAGTAACCAATCAAGGATCCGATGAGTGGCGGGCCAATTCCTCATAGTATGTTTATGTTTCATGGCTTGCATAATGACACTACTTTTCCTGTGTCACTGTTGTGGATAAATGACAGAAAGTGAGTCCAGTCTCCCTTACAGTAAGGTGGCTAGTCAACAGTTTCATCGGTAGCTTTCCAGTAGAACCTTGGGTTGCACCTCCTTGGCTTTCTGTAAATTAAGAGTTCTAGAGCTGCTTCCGGAAAATGCTGCAATCCCGGGGCCCACTTGTCCATGGTAAATAAGTGGCTAAGACCCCAATCCTGCCCTCTTTTGATGGTCATATCACTGGCAGAATATGTAATGCTTAGGACAAGTCTGTGAGAGGCCTATCCTCTTAATGCTTTTTGCATTAAGATTAATAAAAGGCCTCAAGTACACTTCAATTATTTCAAATTTGCAGTTAAAAATTTGCATTGTACAAAGAGAAGTCTAATTTTAAGAAACGAACAGGGGCAACACACACACACACACACACACACGCACGCGCGCACACACACACACACACAAAACCAAAAAAAAAAAATTTGCCATCCCACCCATCCCCTTTTGTTCTTTTATCCAGGGTTTCAAGCTTCTGAGAAAATGAGAACATCAAGGCCACAAACAGAAACTGCTTCAATACTAGAAATTTGTGAAAGTAAGGAAAAAGCTGTAAATAAAAGCAGAGAACTGCTGGGTGCTGGTGGCTCACACCTGTAATCCTAGCTACTCAAGAAGCTGAGATCTGAGGATTGCGGTTCAAAGCCAGCTTGGGCAGCAAAGTCCGTGATACTCTATCTCCAATAAAACCACTCAGAAAATCAGAAATGGTGCTGTGGCTCAAGTAGTAGAGAGCTAGCCTTGAGCTGAAGGACAGCGCCTAGGCCCAGAGTTCAAGCCCCACGACCAACAAAAAACAAAACAAAACAAAAAAAGAACTATTTGGAAAGGATTCAGAACTCTAGGACATTTTCCCTTTTAATGGGAAAAAAATTTTCCTCCTCCCGAATCCACATCTCTTTTCTGGAGTCACCCTGATTCTTTGTTATGGGGAACAACTCAAGTTGGATGAGTAAAGTGCCAGCCAGGCATTAAAGAAAGCAGTCAAAATAACTGCTCTTAGGGTACAGAAGATACACAGGAAAGAAGTGTTTGCAGAATACCTAAGGATCTCAAGAAATTATTCTCAACCATTATTCAATGGTTCTGGTTTTGTTTACATTAAAAGTCAGACTAAAGATTTCAGGATCTTAAGAATTCCTAAAGGACAAAAGGATTGTGATAGTGCTTTATACAGTGATAGAATAGTACCCAAATCTGGTGTTTTTACAATTCATTTAAAAAAGGAAGTAGCACAAAGGTTGCAGGGCAAATGTGAACATGGAAAATAACAGAAACAATCCAGGAAGATGATGCAGCCTGGATATAGCATGTTTAATGTTTCTGCTGGACACAGATTTACCACCTTTCCCCTCTCCTCATCCTCATGTAGCAACAAGATATGCACTAGAAAATTTGACTCTTAGAGTCAGAATAAAAGGATGGGCTCACACATCTTCAAACCTTTCTTTAAAAAAAAAAAAAAGGGGGGGGGTGCTGATAATTTATACATGTCCTGATGGGAAGGCAGGGGTACAGCATGAAAGGCTGTTCTGTATTTTTAGTTTGGTAGTCTTTGGCAGAGCCCAACCAAAGCTGAAGTCACCTAGGATGCCCAATGGCTGTGTGGATTTCCACAGGGTCAAGTAAGCAAACCCAAATGAAGATGTTGGTTTAGGATGGGGGTGGGGGATGGGGGGGGAGGGGAAGGGGAACCCTTGAAAGAGCTTCACCCTAAAAAGGGCAGAGGGGAATGCTTGGAGAGGAGGGCTGAAGATCAGTGTGTGATCTCTGCTGCAGGGCTGGTTAGAGGCTTACGAGTTCAGCCAAGGATGCTGGAGACACTCAGCAGCAGTGGCTCTCTTCTCAGGGATAAGCTCCAACATGGGCAGTAAGAAATCTGTGAAGCCAGCCGCCTCTTCCTGAGACCACTCATACTTCTCCACTAGGACCTCAAAAAGGCCCCAGGGTTTCAGCTTCGTAATGTGCTTCAGGTCACCTGTTGTGAAAACAGTACAAAACAAACTGACCAACACTCATAAGTAGCAAGATCCTTGTGTGGAAATCCAGTAGTCAGTATAATCCTACTCAAGGATTTTTTAAAGTACATTTTTGGAGAACTAGTTATTCACTAAAATGAACAGCAAATGCCCACACACATACACATACAAGTCTACAGATGGCCTCATACAGGGTGCAGAGGAAGGCCATCATCACATATGAATAATCATTCACTAATACTTTTTCTGGTTCAATAATCTAGCAAATGCTAATTCAAAATAGCCAAGAGCATGTCATTCATACATAAAATCAATAGTGATCTTACTTCAGTTTTTCAAGTAGCTGAGACATGTGCTCCCTGTGCCTGGCAAAACTGACAATTTAAAGAAGATAGTATGGGGCTGGGAATGTGGCTTAGTGGTAGAGTGCTTAACTAGCATGCATGAAACCCTAGATTCATTTTCTCAGTACCACATAACCAGAAAAAGCCAGAAGTGGTGCTGTGGCTCAAGTGGTAGAGTGCTAGGCTTGAGCAAAAGAAGTTCAGGAACAGCACCCAGGCCCTGAGTTCAAGCCCCAGGATTGGGGAAATAAAAAAAGAAGATAGTATATTAAGGCAAATGCTGCTTAAAAATTTCCCTCTATATATGGCACTTATTTGGTATCTTTTCTATGGATAGTATATGCCTATTTAATTACCTATGTGGTATACACACAACCTTAATCTAATTCTGCTTACAAAGAGAGACTCTTAGAAGTTTTTCACTATTTTCCTGCCCAGATTTTTTTTTTTTTGGTGTCAGTCCTGGGGCTTGAACTCAGGGCCTCAGTGCTGACTCTGAGCTTCTTTTTGCTCAAGGCTAGCACTCTACCACTTGAATAGTGTATTGGAGATAAGAGTCTCTTAGACTTTTTCTGCCTGGGCTGGCTTTGAATTATAATCCTCAGATCTCAGCCTCCTGAGTGTCTAGGATTACAGGCATGAGCCACCAGTGCTTGTCCCCAGAAAGAGTTTTAAAAGGGTAATATTTCTGAGGATTCCTATCAAGGGTTGAAAAAAACAATTTTTCTTGGTAATTGTGTAGAGGTTATAAGGAAAAGAGGAAGCAGGAACAGTGGAAAAAACAAAGGCCAGACAGTTTTCTAGATCCTTTGAAGTTAGGTTTTCATATTTTAACTTTATTTGGAATGCATAAGAAACACATAAGTAAAAAATTCATCATTTCAATAAATATTGTATATTTGTTCAGATGCAAAAAAATTCAAAAGTTTCATCTTTGTTTATTAATACATAATAACATAAACTTAAGCTGCCTACTTTTTGGAATCACCAATTTATATTTAAGGTACTATACACATTAACTTCATATGAAGGATATAGTTTTTTTTTATTTAGAAATGATTAGCTTGATGTACAATGAAGCATCTGGGATTTGACATTCTGCTCCACTGTCTACTCTTGACTCTACTACCTCACTCCATATAAACCATTCTTCAGCACTGAGAGCATACTCACCTCTGGGTACTGGAGCACTCACTGGTCAGCTGGACTTACCTTATCATCTTTAGGCATTTTTGTCTTTAGTACATCTGCTTTTTACCTTTTTTGGTGAAAAATTCCTTGGAGTATTTCCCTGCCACAATGAGCTTGCGAGGCACCTTTCCCAGAAGCTCTATGATCAATGCAATGTGATCTGTGTGTTTTAAGCATTTAAAAGGGGGAAAAAGAGACATACATAACCAGAGTAACAAACGTAGCTCTAGATACTGGCAGCAATGGTCCCAAGCACACATATCTTTTAGGTGTACCTCTTATCCTAAACAAGAAATTGAAATCTATCCAATGGAGAGTTTATAAAGTCAAACAAATACGTCACTTATTCCAGTGGGACTTAAGCAAACACTAAAAAACAATCATAATGTAAATGTAGTTTTCTTATGAAAAGCTGTTTCAAGAACTATTTATTTACAAGTAACTACAAATGAACCAAGCATACTTAGGCAGAGACTGGAAAGGCTAAGAATTACTGGTCACCTGGCAAGGTAGCTGACAAGTCTTATTCTGGATTTTGGAAGCCTATCTACAACTTTACTTTTGTTTATATACTTAGGTTCAGGTGGATTCTTTTTTTTTTTTTGGGTCCAGTCGTGGGGCCTGAACTCTGGGCCTGGGCGCTGACCCTCAGATCTTCAGCTCAAGGCTAGCACTCTACCACTTGAGCCACAGCACAATTTCTGGCTTTTTTTTTCCTGCTTATGTGGTGCTGAGGAATCGAACCCAGGGCCTCATGCATGCAAGGCAAGCGCTCTACCACTGAGTCACCTTCCCAGCCCTAGGTGGATTCTTTGGGTAAGACACTCTACCACTTGAGGCATGCCTATAGACTTGCTTTGTGCTTATTATTTAGAATGTAAGAGTCTTATGTAGTTTTCTGTTCTGGCTGACCTTGAACCTCAATCCTCTATATCTCAACCTCTCAATTAGCTAGGATTACATGCATGAGTCAGCAACACCATTTCAAAGATGAGAAAATGGACTCTTAAGAGAGACTAAATAACCTTTAGAAGCTTCAGCGTTAAAAGAGGTGAATTCTAGGGCTGGGATGTAGCTCAGTGGCAAAGTGCTTGCCTAGCAAGTGCAACGTCCTGGGTTCGATCCCCAGTACCAAAAAAGAAAAGACAAAAAAAATACAGTTTAAAAAAAAAAAAAAAGAGGTGAATTCTAATGAAAACTAACATCATGTGTAGCCCAAAGCCCTAAAGTTTTTCATAAAAGCATACTTTACAGTTACAAATTACCACAAGCATCTTTATTTATTTATTTATTTTTGGGTCGGTTGTGGGCTTGAACTCTAGGCCTGGCCACTATCCCTCAGCTCTTCAGCTCAAGGCTAGTGCTCTATCACTTGAGCCACAGCACCACTTCCAGTTTTCTAACTCGTTTATTGGATGTAAGAGTCTCATGGAGTTTCTTGCCTGGGCTAGCTTTGAACCGCAATCCTCAGATCTCAACCTCCTGAGTAGCTAGGAATATAGGTATGAGGCACCAAAGCCCAGTCCACAAACATCTACTTGACTATAGCCTACTAAAATGTCTAAGTCATGTAGTAATATTTAACTGTCACAGCATGAATGTAGACAGAGACATCATAGCCAGGAAAGTGCACAGATTATAGGTTGGAGGGTAAGACTAGTACTAGCCATGACTCAAACTTCCAGGCAGCTCTACTGTCCATTTCACTCTGTGGGTGACATTGAACTCAGGGCTGGCTTCAAACTGCAATCCTCAGATCTCAGCCTACTGAGTAGCTAGGACTACAGGGCTAAGTCATGGGTGCTCAACAGAAAAGGGCTTTTATAAATTACTTTAACCATATACTCACTGAACCATTAAGGGTTAGGAGTCACTTAACTTCCAAGTGCACATCTTCTGGAGGTAACATCCATATTTATCTGAAAATCTCAGGATCTAGTGATATCATTTAGAAAGGACTTTACATTCACAAGTTCACTATAATTTTTTATACTAAGTATATGGCTGTCAGAAAGTTCTGCTCATGTCTAGAAACCTAGTGACTCAAGAGGCTAAGATCTGAAGATCACAGTTCAAAGCCAGCCTAGGTAGGAAAGTCTGTGGGACTCTTATCTCCAATTAACCACCAGAAAACTGAAAGTGGTGCTGTGGCTTAAAGTGGTAGAGTGTTAACCTTGAGCAAAAAGAGCTCAAGGACAGTGCCCCACAACCCCTCCCACAAAAAAAAAAAAAAAGCCAATTTTATGCAGGGCTTGCAAATAAATGGTTGTTTTTAAACATTACCATTAACAATCAAAATGAGAATACCAAGGAATAAATGAGACTATAGTCTTTTACTGCAAACTTCCAAGCAAAATATTTGTTCTTTATTTTTTCTATACTAAGAAATTATTAGCCAGGTGCTGGTGGTTCATATCTGTAATCTTAGTACTCAGGAGGCTGAGATATGAGGATAATGGTTTGAAGCCAGTCCAGGAAATTCTGTGAGACTCTTTTTTTATTTTATTTTTTGGTAGGTCATGGGGCTTGAACTCTAGGCCTGAGCGCTGTCCCTCAGCTCTTCAGCTCAAAGCTAGCGCTCTACCACTTGAGCTACAGCGCCACTTCTAGTTTTCAGGTGGTTTATTGGAGGTAAAGAGTTTCACGGACTTTCCTGCCTGGGCTGGCTTTGAACAGAGATCCTCAGATCTCAGCCTCCTGAATAGCTAGGTTACAGGCGTGAGCCATCGGTGCACGGCTCTGTGAGACTCTTTTTTTTTGTGAACATGCTGTATAGAGGGGTTAAAATTACATGGGCAAGATAATGAGTACATTTCTTATCAAGCATTGCAGCCTCCTCCTTTGTTTACCCTTCACATCCCTTCCCAGCCTCCCCCCGCCCCCCCCACTCTTATCTCCAATAAACTACTCAAAAAAAAAAAAAAAGCTTACTGGGTGCTGGTGTAATCCTAGCTTGTAGTCCTAGCTACTCAGGAGACTGAGATCTGAGGATTGCTGTTCAAAGCCAGCCCACGCAGGAAAGTCTGTGAGACTCTCATCTCCAAATAGCCACCAGAAAACTGGGAATGGGGCTGTGGTTCAAGTGGTAGTGCGCTTACCTTGAGCTGAAATGCTGAGGGTCGGCACCCAAGCCCAGAGTTTAAGCCCTGTGACTGACAAAAAACAAAAACAAAACAAAAAACAAAACAAAACAAACCAGCCAGAAGTGTAGCTGTGGGTTAAGTGATAGAGCACTAGTCTCAACAGGACACCCAGGCCCTGAGTTTAAGCCTCAAGACTTAGTACCAAAAATAAATATTTTCCTCAAAACTATTACATAGTAGTACAGTAAGGGCATTCAGGATTTGCTTTTTCTCTGCTCCAGCAGAACAGGATAAATTGCTATAGAACAGCACAGGTTGGGGCAAGGTGGAATAAATATCAAAGGAAGATGGTTCTTGTTTCCTGGAGGATTTTCACATATATTCCAACTTTCAGTATGGTAGTTAGGATTCTCTGATCATATAATTCTAGCCAGTATGTTCTGTACCACACAAAAAATACTTTTAGAGAGTTTAGGCATGTAAAGAGAGAGAAAAAAAAATGATCCTGTAGTCAGATACATTAGGGTAAAACACAGGTATCTGGTTATGAGAATTAAGTAAGCACAAAGTATTTCTAGAACAGTTTTGGTTCTATACACAAAGCCTGAGCTAGGTGCTGGTGCTCACACCTGTAATCCTAGCTACCTAGGAGGCTAAGATCTGAAGATCAGGGTAAAAAAAGACTTATCTCTAATTAGCTAGCAAAAAGCTGGAAGTGGAGGTCTGACTCAAGTGGTAGAGCAGAGCCTTGAGAGAAAAAGCCAGACAGTACAAGGACCTGAGTTCAAGTCCCAGTACTGACCCCCTAAAACAAAATACACCAAGCAACTAAAGGACACAAAGCCTGGAGCAAAGCACAGTCACTGAAGGTCGTGTTCTTCACACTAGGAGGCTATGCTGCTAGTGCTGCCTAAATATTAGGAAGAAGGTGCAGTATTTCTCTAATCATTTTGAATTCAAATTATTAACTCATCACTTATTTGGATACAGCAGGATAGAAAAGTAACTTAAAATTGTCTTCTTCCACAGCCTCTTTGATGGGAGCAATGACAACATAGGCTTTTCCCATAGGTCACCAAAAAATTAAATCTATGATATTTTTATCTATCTATCTATCTATCTATCTATCTACCTACCTACCTATCTATCTGGGTTTGAACTCAGCAAGCCCTCCACCACTTGAGCAACATCCAAATCCTCTATCTCTGAAACAGAATTTTAAATTTCAGTATCAACTGAAGTGGAAACAAAACACACATACATACACTCTCTCTCTCTCTCTGGCCCTGAGTTCAAGCCCCATGCCTGAGGGCTGGGAAAGTGGCTCAGTGGTAGAGTGTTCGCCTCGCATGCATGAGGCTCTGGGTTCAATTCCTCAGCACCACATAAGCAGAAAAAGCTGGAATGGTGCTGTGGTTCAAGTGGTAGAGTGCTAGCCTTGAGCTGAAGAGCTGAGGGATAGCGCCTAGACTCAGAGTTCAGCCCCCATGATGACAAAAAAAACAAAGCCCCATGCCTGAGAAAAAGAAGAGTCTCGTGGATTTTCCTGCCCAGTCTGGCTTCAAACAATAATTCTGGAAGTGGAACTGTGCTGAAGTGGTAGAGTACTAGCCATGAGCAAAAAAGCTCAGGGCCAGTGCCTAGTTCCTGAATTCAAGCCCCAGGACCAAACTAAAACAAAATGAAACAAGTTTACCAAAGAATAATCCTCAGATCTCAGCTTTCTGAGTAGCTAGGACTATAGGCATAAGCCACTAGCACCTGGCTTAATTTTTCATAGTGCTGTCATTTGGAGGACCTATTACTAAGTCTTAGTGAGAACAAATGATTTTAGCTAGGTATAGCAAGTGTAACCACTTTAAGTGGACTTACCTTCATCCCGAGTATACTCTTCCCCTGAATGAGGTTCGAACAAATAGTCGCCTGTGGCTAATTCAAAGGCCTAAGAAAAAGAGGATGGCACATGAAAGCATCAATGAACCACCCGTGCCCTGCCCGGTCTTATATTATCTTAAGGAAGTATAAAGAAAAAGAGTTTGAATTTGTACCAAATGTATGAGTTATCTCATAGTGGAAGACCAAACAAAGAATAAACCAAACAAAGAAAGCAAACCGTTCAGCAGGGAATGGGTAGAGATTGGACAATGGATATAAAGTCACATACAGTAAAAGCTCTATTAGCCAGTAAGGTGACTATAGTTATAAATATGTGCACTTAGAAAAACGAAAATAACACTGAAGCTTTTTTGAATTTTCCTTTTGGAAAAGGGATATTAAGGTGATTCTAAATCATTAAGTTATTTGTGAGAATGTATTTTCCTTATTATTTCATATTGCTAGACAATGAATTCTATACCTCAAAGCAAATGCTCAAATACAGATCTCTCTTCAATGTTTGATAAAAACCATATCTAATCTTGCAAGAGAAAAAACACAGCTTAAACTGTCAGCAGATTCAGGAACCAACTTATCTTTTTTTTTTTTTT